GATATTAGGAAAAATTTATTCACTGAAAGGGTTGTCAAGCATTGGAACAGGCTTCCCAGGGAAGCGGTTGAGTCCCCATCCCTGGAGGTATTTAAAAGACGTGTAGATGCGGTGCTTAGGGACATGGTTTAGTGGTGGACTTGGCAGTGCTAGGTTAATGGCTGGACTGGATGATCTTAAAGGTCTTTTCCAACCTAAACGATTCTATTCTATTCCATGATTCTAACAAGCCCTGATCACCCCAAACCCTGACCACACCGGAGCATGCCGCCTGACCCTGACCCCTGAGCCATCACAGAGCTTGTCTTTGCCTTGGGGCGGGAGGGCTGGCCAGGGTGGCCAGATGCGGCTGTGCACATGCCAGACCAGCTCAGCCAGCTGCCGGGCATGCAGTGCAACCCAGGGGATATTTTTTTTGGTCACTGTACAAGTCCCAGGCTGGAGTGCAAACCCACAGCTGGTAGGTTCACCAGCTCATGGTGCCAGTAAGTCATGGCTCAGCTCTGGGGGAACCTTGTCACATCAAGCGCTTTCATTTCAGCCCATGTATAACTGACAGTGGGTGACAGAGAGGGACAGGGTGTTTGTACCAGCAGCCCTCAGGCTGCTCCTGCACACTTCACCCAGAGGAACAGCACACTTAAACACTGCCTGGTTTTAATATGACTTAATCGGTGAGTGCACTAATAGACCTTAATGGCCATGATGAGCCTCACCTGGGCCCAATCACCCCACCCACGTGCCAGGAGCACTACTTAAGCTCAGTCCAGAGCCGTCACTCCCTTCTGGCTGTGGTTCCTGTTGATGTGGATCCTGTGCTTTTCTGTCTCAATCTCAGCCCTGGCTCATTACAGAGGTTTCTCGTGGTTCTCTCCTGCCAAGGACAAACAGTCCTCTATGAAAAACAGGCTGCCAGGACCAATGGTGCCAGGGCAGGAGAGCCAGCCTGCCGGGAGCACAGGGAGCTGTGGCAGTGGTTGGCAGAGTCGGGGCCCCTTGCTGCAGGAGGTGTGGGTAAGACTCAGCTCTCAGGGCTGCCCAGCAGCCTGGGCAAGGGTGTATTACTAGCCAGGGCTATGGGGAAGGGGCTCAGTCTGCAGTATGCTGTCAGCAGCACTGGTAACATGCTGACAAACAGGAATTGCTGTGAATGCACTGTACCCCCGGGAGACTGAAAAACCTGTGGAGGGTGGAAGGAACTGTAAAGCTCTGCACAAGGACTTCAGGAGCAGGCTGCTGCTGGGAGCTGCCTCCCCAGTTACCTGCTCTTAGAGTTGGCATGGATGCACTAAACCCTCAGTTGCACCATCCTTTCCCCATGGCACTGGGAGCCAGGTGCTCGTGTCCTTGTTGGCTGAGATCTGGCCTCAGTGCAGTGCTTAAATCAAGAGCAATAGGGAAGACACGCATTGCTTAGGAAGGCAGAGCTCTTTATAATCCTGAGGACAGACCCCAGTGAGTCCCCTCCAGGCAGACACTATGGAGCAGGCTGTGCAGGGCATGCTCACGACAGCAACGTGATCAGTGTATTTACAGCAGACAGATACGTGGGCAATTGCAGAGAAATCTGCAAAGCCACAGCTATCACATATACCATAGGCTAATGCAACAGGTGCCCAGCAAGGGCATGCCGATTCACAGTATCAGCAGTGAGCTGCTGGATGAATGTGCTGAGCCCTCCCTGGGCTCTGCAGGGACAGGTTTTTCACGGGAGGTCAGTGCAGCTGCTTGGTCAGTGCACACCATGCCTGACAGCCCATCAGGAGGGCAGGACAGCACCAAACATCTAAGTGTGGGCCCAGGAGCCTGCAGCACCACTAGTGTTGAAGTCTTGGCTGGATAGGTGGGGTCTAGGATGTGAGTTCAAGTCCCAGTATCCACTCCCTGTGCACGCTTAGAAAACTGGGTGTGCGCCTTCTCCTTTGAGAGGGACCCAGCCATCAATGGCTCCAGAGTGCGAAGAGGGCAGGCGCACTGAGCGGGGACAGCCAGCAGTACTCCACCACGCTGTACAGCGCATAGCCCAGCAGCAAACCGAAGAGCACGTCTGTCACGTTGTGCCTGCCCAGCATGACCCTTGAAATGCCGACGATGAGAGCCCAGAGCACCACGAGGACCCGCAGCGGGACAGCAAGCACCAGGTGGTGCAGAATGAAGCGGCAGACCAGGGCTGCTCTGGTGGCGTGGCCTGACGGAAAGGAGTACCTGTCCACCGAGATTGTGACGAACATGTCCATCTTGTTGTGGGTGGGCCGCCGCCGCTTGACGAGCCCTTTCACCACTGCCACCAGCACGAGATCCAGCAGCAATGCTAGGAGACAGTAACAGTGAGTGAGCAAGAGAGGAAGGGGTTTTTTCCCCCCCTATGGAAAACAAGGCAAGAATCAAACCAAAGTCATTAGCTAAGAAAACAAGCACTTGGCTACCAAAACATGCTAAGAGAAGGCACTATTTGCCATGGCTATGATGCCCAGGTAGGGAGAGCATGGCACTCATCCAGCACTTGGCCTTCTCCAGTTTGAGCCCATCTTCAGTCTCCACTCCTGCTGCACGCGGCCCTTGTGCAACGCCAGACCCTCTGCCTGCCACAGCCAGCAACAGGACTTGGCCCAGCTTGCACCCAAGAGCTCTTCTTTCTGTGTAAAACCTGATCTTGCCATGACTCAGGGCTCAAACTGACTCTTAATCTAAAGGCAACAGAGGGGTTAATATTCCCCACAGCTCCCTTCCTGACAGCCTGTGCTGACTCAGCATTGCTTTGCCTACCCCTGTGGCTGGGGGTCAAACTGACCAGGGTGAATGATCAATCCACTTCAACCACTCAGCCATGGCTCAGGGTGAGGGGCCCCGAGCTTGTGTGGCACTGCCAGGGCTCCCGCAGTCTGGCTTCTCCCTGCTGTGGGGGGATTAATGCCAGAAAGTTAACCATACTTTGGTTTTCAAGAGCTGAATAAAGGATGATTTAAATAATGCCAGCTAAAGGTTGTTGCGGTAGAAGTCAGTCGAAGCACATGTGAGAAGTGTTCAGCCAGTATTTGGCAAGAACAGCTTCTCACGTAGGGCAGAGGATGCTTTTTCCATCCCCGTTAGCTTGGCTAGTGCAGTGTTCACAGCCAGGGCTACTTCTTCCAAGGAAGTCTTGTGGGAGACTGACTTCTGCTTGTCCTAAGGCTTGTTTCTGGACGCCAAATCTTTTGGTCACTTCAGTTCATTCTCTTTGGTTAATCATTTAAGAACAAATATTTTTTTTTCCACATGTAAACCTAGTTCAATTGCTTTTTCTCTTTTTACATATGGTTTGGGAGATTCAGCTTGGACACTAGGGAACACTCCTTCCCCACATGGGTGCTGCAACCCTGGGACAGGGCCCCGGAGAGGTGGGTGGCTCCGGCCTAGAGCGTTGAGGGCCAGGCAAGGCCCTGGTGCTGGGACACCTCCTCAGAGCAGAGGTTAGGTCAGAGGCCTCCAGGTACCTTCCCACAGCTCTGCTGTGAGACTGTAATTTAACTGTGTGCTCCTAGATGAAAAAGATGCCTAAAACCGTATGTTTCCCACCAAGCAAATTTCAATGCAAATGATAAGTGTGAGATACCAATTATTTGCAACTTAATAAAAGAGTAAGAAAGAGGAACCTGAAAAAGTCTGTTGCTCTAGAACTACTACAGTTTCTAAACAAGCAAAAATGAAGAATCTAAGTGTACCTAATAGGACAGGATGCAAGGGAGGGGGGAATATTACACCACACAAAATTAAAATGCATGCTTTAAACAAAGTTTCCTCACTGGCTGATACAGATCAATCCATGCAGGTACTGCCTGCAGGGAGCCCAAGGGTGCAGACATCTGTGTGCCAGAGCAGCTTTTCAGGAGAAAGGGCTGGTATCTAGGACAGCTGCACCTGGAATGCGCTGTTGTGATAAGCTGAAGAACTAAAAGGGAGTTCAGTTCCCTTAAAGTTTTGTGCAACTGCAGGAGCAGTTTAGCTGTCTGGAGTTTCACAGTGTGTGGTTGGAGCTGTGACAGATGAGCCATACCCATGCCACCACGTCCTCCAGCTGCAGGGTTACTCACTCTGGTACCAGGCACCCCAGATGAGTCTGCACCAGTTACTCAAAATCAGCAGGCTCCCTTGGGGCTGTAGGAGGGTGAGGTTTACTCAGCTCTCCCCCATCCTTCAGGTTCCATCCTCCCCCCTCCGCTCCAGCCAGCCCCCGCCTACAGAGCCCTTTGGTGAGCCCCCAGCCTCACCGAAGAGCAGGTTGAGCAGCACCTCCCTGGCCGCTGAGCTGTCACTCTGGCACAGCCCGTAGAAGGTACCCAGCAGCCAGGGGATGCCATGCCCCGAAACCTCGATGACCTTCATGAGGGGGCGTGCGCTGCCCCAGGCCGAGCCCTCTCCAGCGCAGACGCCCAGGCGCTTGGAGGCCCAGAGGTCGATGGCGAGCAGGGAGCTGAAGGCGATGCCCAGGAAGGAGGGGTTCAGCTTCATGCAGTCCTCCTCGGGCGGGGGGGCCGCCGCAGAGCTGCCCGACTCCTTGCGGCGTGACGGGCTGTCCGGGACGCCGGGGCTGCGCTGGCTCACGAGGGACAGGAATTCCAGGCGGCTGCTGCTGCCGGTGCGTCGCTCGCGGCTGCTCCGGGGGCTCGGCATGGCGAGAGGAGGTGGCCTGGGAGAGGTGGGGGCCGGTCACCGGCTGCCAGGCCTGCTCTGGCGCCGGGACCCAGGCGAGCCGCCCAGGGACCCGCACGTCACCCCCTGCCCGGGCCTGCTTCTCACCCCCTCACCGCAACCTGCTACGGGCCCCGCTGCCCCACGCTGCCTGCAAGCCCCGGGCCTGCCCCCGCACCCTGCCCGGCACCC